ACGCCTTGTCGCTCCGCAAACTACACTACGATCGCCACATTAATTCCTGCTATTGTAGTACTACTAACCTGACGACAATAAATTGGACACTAATTTTGTTTAGTACCCCCGCGCGAAAAAAATTCCAGCCAATACCGAAAAACTTGAAAGTATTGAACATATTGAAGTTGTAAACAACAAGGAAAAACATGAAATGGGGGTTTAAATTCACGCTTTCAATTGGCTGTTCGATTCAGTTTTATGAGCTCACTGCACAGCAATTGAGTATACAGAGTCAATCCTGAATCCGGATTTATATGAAGATGGAAAATATCAAATTATCTGAAAAGTGTATTCCACCATTGAGCAGAGGCGGGCAGCAACCTTGGGTCGTTGGTTGAATCGTTCAAGCGGATGGACATTGACCCAGTCGGCATGAAATACACCACAAATTCTGTTCGTTACATTTTGTCGAACTTGCAATAGGTTTCTTGTAAATTTGATACACTTCGAAATATCTTGGACGAATTTCAAAATGATTGTCGTTTTGCATCCGTTCACTTGATAAGCCACACTTTTCCATTTCTTGATCTGCAACAAATAAAATTATGTTTCGATAGCGTTGTGGTCTGTCAAATGAACGGCATGGATAAGATCGCGAAGTTCGTCAAGAAATCACAACCTCCTATATTCCCTAAAGAGGGGAAGTGTGCTCGGCCCAGCCGCGATTTCACCAACACTTGCTGTGAGTGTGTGCTGCTGACGGGTGAAACAGTTATATTTTGCTCCTGGCATTTTGTTTGTCCCGGTCAGTAGTTTTGGTAAAGTGCGATTATGGTCCGTTGCCGTGGACCGCCACTGTGATCACCTGGTCGCCGTGTCGTCGACCGTGTCGCAATCTCGAGACCAGTGTACTTGTTAACCGGACTAATGAAGTCACTTTTGAATTCTCGAAATGTCCTTCGCGGCGTCCTCCTGGCAGTAACCTTTTTCCATGTCTTGCTGTCATCGCATTCAAGAATTTCGGACCGCTACTCTACTCAGTTTCATCAAGATCGACGCGGGATGTGAAGTTCTAACGACAATAGTGTGCACTAATAGATTTCATGAGGTCGATGGTCTAGACCTTGGAAGATATAGTCAGAACACCCGGTTCTGTCGAAACATCCGCACTGCCCTGTCCATCAGGTCGCAGGATGGTCCTGCAACGGTAGGAGGTTTTTTGTGCCTTCTAGAGGCTTTTTCCTCATGTAATAGTCAGTTGCAGGGAAGGCCACGTCACGTCGTCAGGATGTCGTGACGTCATTGGCCAGGTGGCCTACACGGACGGATGGGCTTCGCCCACCGTTCACTTCACCTTTCTTCTCGTTTTACAAAAACCCTATTTCTCCTCGCTATCTGACCTTCCAACTGATATGACGTACAAACAATTTGGTTGAGGGTGCTGCTCTTGCATTGAATACGCAACGGTGGTCACATAATAGGTGGCCACATAATAGTAGATTCTAAACTAACTGTCCTACCGCATGCGTGAAAATTTTTATCAATTGGCCAATCACGCGCCTTTTTTTGTTTACAGTTACCAAACTTTATTGGTCAACATTGTTACCAAATTTTATTGGTCAACATTGTTGTTACATCTTCACAACATTTCGTAGGGGACGTTGCGAATGGATCCACCTGGACTCCCGACATGCGTCCCCGATTAACAGTGGTCGACATGATCGACGAGCCGACGGATAATTCTATTACTTGCTGGAGTGCAAAACGGCTGGCCACAAAGCATATGGTCCTCTCAACATTGATGGCCCCGTATTGGAATCCAAAATGCATTGCCAGGTATATTAAAATATAAAGGTATATCATCCATCAACTAGTCGTCCTCTGCAGTACTTTCACTGTCGTA